TTCTCGTGGGTAAATAGATCGTCTACCCTCTCTGATTCTCATAACTTCGGCATTTTTTATATTTTGAGAATCCCATAAACGGAGGCGGCAAACAACCATAAACTGAGTAGTTTGACTAAAGTAAAGAGAATCAAAAGTTGAGAGGTATGCAATGACTTTAGCAACCGAAGTAAAAGATAAAATTATTTCCGAGAAGATGTGATAACATTTGACTGGAAAAAAAATTAATGAGAGAATCAGAGATAAATGGTTTCTCCATTTGGACTATATCTTAAGCATAATGCAGGAGGTATTATGAACATGATTCATTATTATTTAACGGAATAAATTGGTCTATTATGCAATCTTGTTAAATGCCAATGTTCTTCTCTTTCTTATAAATTAGCTATTTTTATGTTTTGAGAATCCCAAAAACGGAGGCGACGAACAACCACAAACTGAATAGTTCGACCAAGGTAGAAAGAATCAAAAGTTAACAGGCATGTAAAAGTTTTAGGCCTCGATTAGTACATCTGATAATAAAATAGTAGCAGTATGTTGTATAAGTAGTATACTGTAGAAGTTGTATGCTCTTACTAATTTTTTTTAATAAAGTGAATGATAGAACAGTAGCAGTATATACTTTTATAATCATCATAAAATTTAGTATATAATATATTTATTTAAATTAATATATATTTATAATATATATTAATAACATTTTTAATAATAATAATGAATCTTATTCAATTACATAAAGGGTTTTATATTTTAAATGTGAAATATTAATACTTTTTTAAAAAATATATATATATATAATTTATTTTAAAAAAATAAATTTATTTTTGCATATAAACATAATTTTAATATAATTACATAGACTAAATTAATTATATATAATTTTTATATAAATTATTATTATTTGATTATTGGTAGAGCATTAAAGATTAATCTATTTATTTTTAAATAATATGAATATGTTTATATCTATAATATATAATTATATTAAATTTAAGTTTGTTATTAAAAATAATGATTGTATGTGTAATTATATAAATTATATAATATTTAAAATGTGAATTACTACTTTTAAATTAAAATATTTAATTACACTTTTTTTGGAAAAGAATTATGTATAATTATTTTAATTTTTATATTTTCTAACTACAAATGATCTTCCAAAATCTCCATATGAGACCTTTGAGCAAATAGCATTTGGAGAACATTAGCATCTTGTAAATGATTTTCTAAATGCTTTTTTCATAAATGTTGATTGGATAGTAAGAGTATAATTCTTATGATGATACTACCAACCAATCCCTTAACATCTAAGCTAAAGATGAAGTCATTTCCGAGAAGATGTAATAAAATTCGACTAGAAGAAGAATCAATGAGAGAATTAGATATGAAGGATTCCTCTATCTAGATATATTATATATTAACCAGAATGCATGAGGTATTATGAATGTGGACTATTGTTAATTAACGGAATAAAAATAGGAGATGTAAAGGTAGAGTAAGAAAAATTGATTCATGAAAATAGAAACACTCACTCTATGAATATGAAGGTCTAGCGAATTAATGATTAATTAGGGATACCCAGGAATTAAATACTTTATTTTATTTATAAAATAATAGAGGTACTATAATCTATTATTCTTAAAATATATCAAGTATCCATAGTAGTCTGGTGATAAAGATTTTGTTTGAAAAATAAACAACCTACTTTTATTTTTCACGGAGTGGATCCCACAAATATGCTGATGTGTCGTCTCAGAAGTGAGCAAACTCCCTCATTATTATATAGACTAGAGGTTTTTTCCGCGCTATGCGTGGATTATGTACTTCTTTTCTTTGTTTTTAATACGCTCATTTGTTTGATATATTAGATATAAGTGTATTATTAATATATTTTATGTTTGTGTCACACAATTTAGTAAGTAAGAATAATTTCGTTTTCAATAGATTAATCATTATTTCTCGTATTTATAGTAATTTAAAAGTTAATAATTTTTTGACCTAAATACTTAAAGTGTGTAGATGCTATTTGAGAATAATGTTCAAAAATGATAATGTTTTTAGTAAACTATATTCCAAGTAAAAAAAGTTTTATTTTATACAACTAATATTTAGTTTTCTAACTTTGATTAGGGTTGAAATAAAACACACCCTTGAGAGTAAACACTTGATATACTGATTGTACCCTTATGAATAAGAAAGCTCTTCTACCGCCTCCTCTTCTCTCAAATTTTCACACTCCATTACAGCAACACCAGATGATGAAACTGGACAAAGCTGTGATGATTCTGGAGATAAAAATTGTTTCTTAGACCCAGCACATGAAAAGAAGTCGTATCCATTGTTCTGTTCAGACACTATTGAAGATCCATGGCGAGAGCTTGCACTTCTGCGAGGACTGGAACAGTTCCTTCAGGTGGCTGTTATGATCTCTCTGTCAGATTAGTTTTAAGAAAACTTACCTCGTGTTTATCTACTTTCTCTTGTCAGATGTTAATTTACTAAATAACATGTATTATATATATATATATATATATATGTCTAAAATTGAGATCAAAAGAACACATAACTATCACTTCTATCGCAAGAAAAACATTTTAGAAGACATTTTGTACTCTATCAAAAATATTTAAGGTACTCTGAGTTCACAAATGTTTGCAATTTTTTTTAGAAAGTAATGCAATAGATATGTCAGCATTACTTGTAACTTCTTTCCAGAGTATCCAACTTACATCTCTGGTGCATTAGCGCTTGTGGTCCTTCCATCACAGAGGTGTTACATGGATCTATTAGCTAACCTGTCATCAGAGTCACAGCCACCATCGTTAAATGACACATATTCAGCAGTCTCATTGGGATCAGAGACAAACATTTGTACATGGTACCTACTACCTAGTATACATTGTCAAGTGAATTTTCTTACATTCCTTCCTATAATGGTCACATATTTGTTTTAATTAAAGTAGTATACGATCATGATGATTTACCTAAAAACTATTGCAATGAACTCTTCTGACTGCAGTGGTTGTGTGTTTTTAAGGGCACACAATGAACAATGACTATTAGTAGAAAAGATGTGTCAAGTTGATCACAATACCTGAGGGGCAGATTTTAGGACGTAATCATATAGTTCTGTCAAAGTCATTGGTTTAGTCTTCTTAACACCGTCTGTCATTTGTAGGGTTGGATTATGCCCCTGTGTCACTGCCACACACCCTATTTGAAGACATCTTTTAGTGAGAGTGTAAGAAAAATTCTTACCGTTTCGTCTCGATCCGTTTTACCATTGGAGTTTTACGATAAAACCGTAAAAGATTTGTTTTCTCGTAAAACCTCGAGTAAATCGTATAAAATGGCAACTGTTAAATAAAACACCAAACATTGCCAAACTATACAATTAACTCGAGATATTTTATAAAAACTGCTAAAGACTTGTTTTCTCGTAAAACCTCGAGTAAATCGTATAAAACGGCAATGTTTAAACTAAACACCGAACATTGCCAAACTATACGATTAACTCGAGATGTTTTATAAAAACGACATCGTATCAGCAAACGATCTCATCTAAAGTCGTAAAACGGCTAAATCGCAAAACGGCTCGGAAAGTCCTAAAACGCGATAAAAGCTCACTCACGACTTTAGACAAGATCCAGCCCAAAGATATGATGACGGCTTACTAATTATTCACAGGAGTGGGAAAATGTCAAGTTTGAAGATAAAATAGAAGTTCTCCGAAGAAAAATGAAAAGATCGAGATAAATAGAAGATTTCCGATAAACGCAAATCGGGGCGGAAAAGAAAAGACCAACCGCCTAGAGAAGGAGTATAAGCAGAAGGTCGAGGACAAGAAGAAAAGGGGGTTTTTCATAGCTCTCATTTCACAGAAAAACTTAGCACTTACAGCATTTAGACAATTTTTTTTTTTTTTTTGTTATCGAGCTGTGTCTCGACTAAGGTTTTAGTTTTAGGTCACTAGAACTAGGAAACTCGCCATCAGCTCTCGTAGCCAAGGATATACCTCGTTGTACCATTCTTACGTAAAATCAGAATAAGAAACCTCTTTTCTCTCTTTTCGATTCTTGTATTGTTTTACTATCTTTTTCGTATTGTTTTACTATCTTTTTCGTATTCTGATTGCTTGGCGTGTGGTTTAGCAGATATCTGGGAGTTCTGGGAAATTAAAGGTTTCCCTAAGTTTTTTAATTTACCTAAGTTCCTTAATTTACGAAAATCGACGGTGTGAATTTCGGTTCCCACACTCTCTGTCACAGTATTTTAAATAGAGGGTAATATACACAACATAATTAAAGTTGAGAATTTATTTTGTAAAAAAAATTAATTGGCGGTTTATTTTACAATTCATCTTCGGGGTTAATTATTAAAAATCCTATTTATTTGGATAATATATTAATTTATGTTTGCGGAGAAAAGGAAACGTACGCCTAATTTGATTTTGCACAAAAAAGCTGATGCGAAAAGAATCTAAAACAAAAAGAAAATATTTGATGCTTCTCCCAAATGAACCAAATCCTAGCGTGACCAAATATTTGAGTCTATGATAAGAGTTGTCAAACAATTAAAAGCAACGAGATTTGTTTTTAATCTGAAAATTCTAAATAAAGCTATAATTTCTGGATGACGACTGAGTTAGCTATACCAGCCTGCTCAATGGTTAGGTCCAAGTCTGTCAATTGTATGGGAGGGAACCCCATGGTTAGTAACTGATACTCTCTCGAGCCACCGGGTCTCGAAGCATCGATGAACCCACGCACGTCTCTGACGGTGTGGTGGTTGTTGAACCTGGATACAAGGCGTGTGCCGTCTGCCAATCTGAGCTGGATCGAAGTTGTTGGTGCTGCTTGGTCAACAACAAGTCCTCTTGATGGTCCTGGTGCTGTGTTCATTTGTGCGGGTGGAGCTTGTGGTTCTGCAGAGCCTGATCCGCTGGCTCCTAGCGTTCTTCCTACACCTTGGAATGGATTTTTGGGCTTTGGTGGTTCCTATGTGTCAAGAGATAACAACAGAATAAGAACCCTTACCAGTAAGGTGAACTAAGAGTAAGTATCACTGAGAGAAGGGAATGAGACTTACTGTGTAGTTGTCTTCACGCTTGACGAGATCGACATGAACAGGTATCTTCTTATCTACTGGTTCAAGTTCAGTAGGGCACTCTGATCTCGCAATGCTCTACAGAGACAGCACATATAATCAAGATTCCAAGTAAACTGAACACTCTATTTCATTACTAGAAGCATATGGGTAGAAGGTTTGGATGATACCTCCATAAAGGCTGCGTTTTCAGGGTCATCAAACCTCCTCAAAGGACCATCATTAACAGTGAAACCATTCCTCCAGAAAGTGATGGTGTGCATCACCACCTGAGGCTGGTCTTGCTGTTGCTGCTGCTGCTGAGGAGCAGATGGAACAGGTTCGCCAGACAACATCCGAGAAGCTCCAGTGAAGCTTGTCGATGCTGATCTCGATGGCTCAACAGGTCTGTTTACAGCAGAGAGCCTAGCTTGCTCAAAAAGCGCGTCAACGTCCTTTGCTTTGTTAGGATCTTGAACCATCATCCCACTAAACACATTGCACAAAAGAATATCATCAAAAGACCAACACAAACAGTGATTGTAGCTTAAAACATGTACTTCTCCTCCTAAACAAATTATTCCAAAAAAATTTACCTCTTCTGTCCGCCAGTGTAGTACTCTTGCCCCTCATCAGAATCACTTCCAGCTGGAGAACGGTTCAGATCGGTGAACGTACGGATGTTCCCAACGTGTTGACGGCTGCCAGGAGGATTAACAGCTTCTTGATTCTCCGGAGAGGTTTCAGCAGCGGGAATCCAAGGAGGAGGTAAATTAGGGTTTGGGACCGCTGGCAAATCGGTGGCGGCGCCGTTGTCCAGGAAGGAGGAGACGGCAGCGTCTAGATCCCAACTGTGACTTTCGAGGAAGAAAGAAGCTTCATCTCTTGTTGAAGAAGTGATCTCGAGGAAGGAGTTGATCAGATTCTCGTTCATCTCCTTGTTTTCTTCCGCCATCGTTTGATAATTTCTTTTCTTCTCTCTTTGTGATATTTATATCTTTCGAATCGCATTATGTTTCCCTTTACTACTATTTCAATCCTTCAAAGCCCAAAGGCTTTATGATTACATTATGGGCTACATTCTTAATTTATCTTATAAAGACATTCACACCGTAGATATTTTATGTTATAGATAATATTGCTTTTCAAAGAATCTTGGTTTATTTAATTAAAAGGAATCGGTTGCTTTCTGCGACGAGATCACTATTTCCTTTAAATTTAGAGTATTTGCACCCTCTATACACACAAAACCACTAAATTAGGATTCTACCCTATTTATCTCTATCTCTCTCTTCCCTCATATACCACTTTTTCCCCCCCAATTCTTAATTATCTCTCTCTTTTTGGGTATTCACCCAATTCACCCTTAAATTTATTGGTTTATAGAAAATAGTACCTTATTTTTGGCAATTGAATATAAGGGCAACATAGTTAATCTGAAGGCTGAAAGTAAAAGGTAAAGAATAGTGAGATTTACAAAAATGTGAAGTTATTACTTATATTGAATTTGTAGGAAATTAGGATGCTACGAAATCCTTCAAGTGGGTGAGACTAATGCATAATTATATGTGACAAATGGGTTTGTGGTAATGGAAGAAAATGGGATTTTGTTTTGACAAAAGTTAGATGGTAAAATTTGTTCCTCGTACGAAGGTATGAGTTTGAGAGAACTTCAAGGGAACGTGTTGGTGAGTTTGGCATCGAGGAAGATGAATTTGTGACTGCGTTTAGCTATTGATTGCCAACGAGTTTGAAGCTAGTAACCGGGATAAAGTCCCCACCGATAATACATACAAGTGATGGAGGGATAAAGTACTTTCTACAGCATTTGAGAGTCAAAGGAGCTAGAACCTGTTCGTGATGTTTGAAAGGAATCTAACAGGGAACGACAACATTGATGGCTTAGGGCTGGGGAAATCGAAGGTTTCTTCCACTACTGGATCTCGTTCATTGAGACGTGGTTATCTGTCATCAGTGGCTTCAAAACCACAAGATGTAAACGTGGAGAATGTTGAGTTTGTACAAGAGGTAGAGAGAGTTGAGGAAGAAATCAACTATGGAAGCTCATACATGATAGAAAAAGTAGTAAGCAGTAGTAGTTTGGGGGAAGACGATGCTGTGGGTCAAGTTGATGAGGTTGACGAGAGAGACATAAGACCTAGAGGTTATGACAAAGAGTTTTGGAGTCCACTATTTAACGATGACTATGGTGGATCTTATGCCGTGAATGTAATTTAAAATGAGGATGAGATTGTGGATGGTTTAACTAAGACTGGGCCACACCGGTACACAAGCAGGACAAACGATGCATTTGACCATTTTGTCGAAGTAGATGGTTCCAGAAATGTTAAAGATGATGTGTGTGACGAAAAAACACATGTGGATGGATGGGAGCAATAGAAATCCGTGGATGAGAGGGAACACTACCAACCCAAGCATGGAAAGGAGGCCCTATGTTTCAACGAGGAAGCTAGAAGACGTGGATGATGAAGAGTTTGATATTCTCCCACCTTTCGATGATACAAGATATGCTACAACAGAGATACCTGGCATGAATTTGGAAGAAGGAGATGGGAGGATCTATGTGGGGAAGATCTTTGGTAACAAAGAAGATTGTCAAATTTCTTTAGAAATATACGCTATAAGGAACCAGCTTCAGTTTAAACAAAATAATATTAAGGTTGATTCTTTTGTTGTGAGTGCCCTGATACAAAATATGATTGGCGTGTAACAGCTCATGAGATCAGAGGGTGTGGCTATTAAGAAATAAGGAAAGCTCAATTTGATCATCATTGTCTAATAGACTGTAGGATGGGATATAAGAGTAGAGCAACATCGCGGGTGATTGCAACTGTGTACAAAGCCAAGTTTGAGGGTCCAGTTAAAGGGCCAATACCTTCAGAATTGTAGAGGCTATTACTATAGGATCTTTGTGTGACTGCTTCTTACACAAAATATTATAGGGAAAAAAAAATAAGACTGTAATCAGTATTCATGGTTCTGAAGAAGATTCCTACTTGAAACTCCCTGAGTATTTACACATGTTAAAACTTGTTAATCCCGGGACAATAGCTGATATTGAGACAGGGGTAGATGATGATGGTGATGATGAGCGATTCCTTTATTTATTTCTTGCCTTGGGAGCATCCATCAGTGGTTTTAAGAAGCTCGTCTTGTGCTGGTGATAGATGGAACACACTTAGGAGGTAAGTACAAAGGTGTGTTACTCACAACTAGTGGACAAGATGCAAATTTTCAGATTTTTCCTCTAGCTTATGCTATTGTGGTTAGTGAGTATGAAGAGGCGTGGACTTGGTTCCTGATGAAGGTTGAGAGGATATCGGGTGATTCCTGTAAGCTTGCAATCATCTTAGATAGAGCCGCATGCATTGCTACAGCTGTGAAACGTGTGTATCTAGCTGCTAATCATGGTTGTTGCATTGTTCATTTGACAAGGAACGTCAACTCTCCATACTCTAGCAAAAAATTAGTGAAGATTGTAACGTCAACTGCAACGGCGCTAGTAATGTGGTTTCATTTGTCTCTGGAACTCATAAATTTTCATGTTATATTGTGGTGGAACCAAGAGGAAACTAATTCAGTAATCAAATAAAGAAATTCATAAAATATCTAGAGTGGATATTTTGATTATGTAGTTTTGGAACAACAAAAGTTAAAGCCTGGAAGCAAATCAGTACAACACAAAACAGAAACAAGTTACATTGCGAAAAAAGAAGAAGAAGAAAATTTTGTTGATATATGGAAGGTATTAAAAGAGCTTCTAATAAAGTGAAGACACAGCTCCGAAAACTGCAATAGCTACTACAAAATTGATGATTGGTCCATGGGTGGCGAGGTTTGAGTTGTTGTGAGAGTATTGGTTCGCATTGATGTGTTCCTTCATCTTTGTTGTGTTCTCTCATTCGACGATCTAATCATCTGCAACAAATTTTCGTTGATTTGGTTCATCATCTCTTCATCCTGACCCACGATCCAAGACCTCTGAGACTCTAGCTGGACATTGTTTTTTTTGGAAAAGTGCTTGAAACTCATGGAATAGATCCAAACGCTTAGCATCGACAATTGAACCTCATCTAGGATGGCTTCGTCAATCCATTTAAGCATAAGAGCCTCTGTTTTCTTTTTTGAGTAGCGGACACAAGTCAAAAAGTCTATGAAGATAAAAGAAGTTTATACAGAACAAAAGGGAACTGAAATTGGAAACCTGTAGAGCGATTTTGCATGTGTAGTATCTGCAACATAGATTGTCCTTGGTCTGAGACCCATGTATCGATCCCTTGTCCACACCAACATTTTGTAGGGACGCCGTAGACGGGTCTACGCGGTCCAGAACGGTAGGAAGAGGAGGAGCTGCTCGTCGGTATTCGATGGTGTGGTTTTTGAGGTGAAGCCCCAAAATCGAGTACGAACTCTAGTCGAGAAGCTCTAAAATTTATTTTCTTTTAATTTCTATTCCTGAAGGCTGTTGTTAGGTGGTTTGACATATATAAACAGAACCGGCTGGTTTACCGGGGGGGGGGGGGGCTTACTGTGGTGGTTTGGTTTACAGGTGGGATATGGTTTACCGTGATGGTGTGATTTACTGTCTAAATTTGATTTTTTTTTCTATCTTAAAATGGAAAATTAAAATTAAATTTAAACAAAATCAATTTTATTTTTATTTTGATTTCTGAAAGCTGTTGTTAGTTAGTTTGATATTTATAAACATACCCGGCTGGTTTACCAGGACCCGGGGGTGTGTGGTTTACCATGGTGCTGTGGTTTACTGGTTGGATATGGCTTACCGTGGTGGTGTGGTTTACTGTTTAAATTTGAAAATTTTCTATTTCAAAAGGCAAATTAAAAAGACAACCGTCCATGTTCATCGATGGTATCCTAACCCGTTCATAAACCTGAGTTTGATCATGTACTGGTTGGGATTGTATATAGTATGAAGCAGAACCCATCCATGGACATGGGTGGGTTTCTGACCCTAGCTGGCCTTTGGATATGAGCATAGTATGAAGCTGAAAACGTAAATGGGCGTGGGTGGGTTCTTGACCATGCCTATGATTTTTTTGTGCAGACGGTGTGGACAGGTTCTAAGACACTTACGATCCAACCGTCGTGGACAAGACTGTAAATAGTTTGAAGTAGAACCCGTCCATGGGCATGGGCGGGTTTCCAACCCCGCCGGACCATTGGATATAAGCATAGTATGAAGCAAAACTGAAATTAGTGTGGGTAAGTTTCCAAACGCAGCCATGAATTTTGAAGCCCCTAAGCTAGTTTTTTACTTTTATTTTTTAATTTAAAAGGGCAAATTAAACAATTGTGCAGACGGTGTGGACATGTTCTAAGACAATTACGATGAAATAATCATGCATAGTATAACCCGTCTGTGTTTGTCGATGGTATCCCAACCCCTTCATAAACCAAAGTTTAGTCATGAACAGGTTGGGATTGTAAATAGTGTGAAGAATAACCCGTCCATGGCCGTGGGTAGGTTTCCACCCCCGCTGGACCTTTGGATATGAGTATAGTACGAAGCATAAACTGTAAATGGGTCGTAAGTGCCACAAAAAACGGGTTGTTTTGTTAAACATAGCAGGTAGGAAGTTAAAAGATTGAAGCCGACAATGTAAATGATCAGGCCATGGGTGGAGCGTAGTAAGAAAACATAACGATGGTCTTGTAGATGTTAAGTGCGTACTGCTTGCGAAGTTCATCAATGTAAACGAACAAGCCATGGGTGGATCACCATGTGCGTGCATTTCCATGAACTTAACAGTAACAGGACCATAGTCACTGAGTCTTTCGTTAATATAGCGATCTGAGATACGAGGCCATGCAAAAGGTGTTAGACCACTGAACTGAGTAAGCTCGTAATTAGCCACCTTCTTAACAAGGTAGAGTAATACCTTAAGGACATGAGCCATGAAACAAGCAACACTA